TGCTGGCCTCTGGCATGCTTTTTGATTTTTGTTAGAAGACATGTATCTCTGAGTCATAATTTATTCGTGTCTCGGGAAATAATTTGAAATACATTATTCAGTATAATTGGAATAATTTCAAAAAGAAAAGAAAAACAGGACTGATCAATTTTGCATTAAAAACCTTAAATTCCGGGGTGCCTGGGTGGCTCAGTCGGTTAAGTGTCCAACTTAGGCTCAGGTCATGATCTCGCGGTCCGTGAGTTCGAGCCCCACGTCAGGCTCTGTGCTGACCGCTCAGAGCCTGGAACCTGTTTCAGATTCTGTGTCTCCCTCTCTCTGTCTCTCTCTGACCCTCCCCCATTCATGCTCTGTCTCTGTCTCAAAAATAAATAAACGTTAAAAAATTTTTTTTTTAAAAACCTTAAATTCAGGTGCCTTCCTTCTTCCTTTAGTCCCCTTCCCCTCCAAAAAAAGCATGAAAACACAAACCAAGATTTGAATGAACATTCACGAAAATATCTTGCATCATTAGTCAAGAGGACAAAACTCTTCAGTGCCCACCCCTGAACAGTTTTGTTGGTGAACCACCATGGTCACCAGATCAGGGAGGTCATGTGGTGTGTCAGAAAGGGGGCTGCTCTCAAATGACAGCACAGTGGCACACACGTGAAGGGGAGAAGAGACCAGGAAACCAAGCCAAAACTACACCGGGGGAGATGGGGACCCTCTCCTTGCATGTTTTTTTCTTCCTGGGATCAACTCAGAATAATCTTTGTGTTCAAATTCATTTTCAGATACTAGCCCAAACTGTTACAGTTCCTCTGGATACTGATTGTAATTTTAGCATTGAAAAGAACATCACCTATTTCATTTTTCTAGCCCAGTCTTTTTTTTTAGTCTAATTTTTCTATCCTAATTGTTTGGTGTTTTTTTTTTTAGTCTATCCCAATCTTTTTTTTTAAGGCAGCAAGTAAGAAAATCATCAAGAATACCATTTATATAATCACCCAAGCGAACCACTAATGCTTATAAATGCCCTTGATTTTAAAGTTAACCCATGTGTAGTTATGTAAACATTAAAAACCCCTATCACCTTCATAGCCTCTGAGCCCCCTTGGTGAAGTGATACAGCCATGTTCCTAGACGACATTTTATGTACGAAGTTCCTTCTAAATCAGAGAGAAATGGGATTCCTCCATTCAAATTGCTGGTACCCAGAGTTAGACTAATTAGTAGATTCAAAACAAATCTTTGGTGTTCCGCAATTCACCTCCTCCATATGAGACCACCTGATAGGTCAGAAGGTAGAGCCGAATGTTCCTGATGCTCTGGATCCGTGGTTCTCCACCAGGAGAGATTTGAAAATACACCCAGACCTAACCTCACCCCAGACCAATTAAATCAGTCTTTTGGGTTAGGATCTCAGAATTTTTTTTGAATTTTTTTTAATGTTTATTTATTTTTGAGCTAGAGGGAGACAGAGAATGAGTGGGGGAGAGGCAAAGAGAGAGGGAGACACAGAATTGAATCAGGCTCCAGGCTCTGAGCTGTCAGCACAGAGCCCAACGCGGGGCTTGAACTCACGAGCTGTGAGATCATGACCTGAGCTGAAGTCAGACGTTTACCCACTGAGCCACCCAAGCTTCCCAGAGCTCAGAAATTTTTAAACATTGCTTAAACATTTTTAAACATTAAAAAAAAATTTTAACATTAAACATAATGTTTTTTAACATATTTTTTAAACATTTTTTTAACATAAAAACAGATTTTTAAACATTAAATTTAAACATTTAAATATTTTGGGAGAGAGCACAGGGGAGGGGCAGAGAGAGAGGAAGTGAGAGAGAATCCCAAGCAGGTTCCACGCTGTCAGTGCAGAGGGGACACAGGACTCAAACTTACAAACCATGAGATTATGACCTGAGCCGATAACCAAGAGTCGGACGCCCAGCCGACTGAGTCACCCAGGCACCTCAGATCTCAGAATTTTTTTTTTCAACGTTTATTTATTTTTGGGACAGAGAGAGACAGAGCATGGACGGGGGAGGGGCAGGGAGAGAGGGAGACACAGAATCGGAAACAGGCTCCAGGCTCTGAGCCATCAGCACAGAGCCTGACGCGGGGCTCGAACTCACGGACCGCGAGACCGTGACCTGGCTGAAGTCGGACGCTTAACCGACTGAGCCACCCAGGCGCCCCAAGGATCTCAGAATTTTTTAAAAGCTACACAATAATCGTAACCTGCAGCTAGAGTTGAGAACCACTGCCCTCAGTAGGGAACAGTTACTGGAGGCCAGGACGGCACTCTGGTTACCTAGGGAAGTGGACTGAGTTAAGTTGAGAGGCAAAGCCTTGAGTCTGGGAAACAGAGGAGGGACTTGGTTGGTGGTTGGGAGCAGTAGTCCAGTCACAGCACTCTGAGGCCTGCCTGATCACTGCTCTCACACATTCCAAAGAGCCCCTTGCAAAAGATGCCCCCTTTCAATGAACTGGAAAGGAGTGAAGCCGATGTGCTTTCCAGCTTCTATAGATAGTCTCCAAAACAGAAGTTGAGGAAGGAAATCATGTAAATATGATCTATTAATATTCCTTAATCCTGAGATATGTTTTAGTATGTTTAATAGTAAATAATACAATTTATACATAAGCATATAGGCTCACTTCTTGATTCACTTATTCACTGAGCTCCTGCTATGTCCCAGGTGTTCCATAAGGCACTAAGGAAATTGTAGTAAAACCACAGCCACAGCCATGTTTCCCTCCAGGGGGATCTTAAATAATCACAAGGGAGTCTAAAGCTCAGAAAGGGGAAGTGAGCTGCACTTGGGAACTGGCCCACAGCCTGGAATATCTCTGGAGTGACTCCTGTTGGGCACGGAAGGGAGACGTGGCTTTTCTTCTGCAGGCACATGCCATCCACAATGCTGGAACATCTGACTCATCCACCACAGCCATGGTCATCAGAACTCTTTCTGCAACTTGCAGACTAGGTGGCTCAGGCCCGTGTATCTAGTGAAGGAAGCAGAAAGTGCCTGGGCCGCCTCTTTGCGGAGGGGGACGGGAGTCATGTTGGGAAGGCTATCTGTGTATACAAAGATAGACTCAGGGTATATTTGTTCTTGTGAATAAGCGACAAGCGGTTCAGGACACAATGAATGCTCCTGTCCACAGGCTACAAACGTAGTGATGGATGGGATCCAGTGTTTACGTGTCCCCTCTGTAACCTTAGATTGAAGTCGTTGAAATCCTCAGCCCATACCTCAGGAGAATGGCACGTGCGTGGGCTGAAATGGCGGGGCACAGCTTCATGAGAGGTGGCGGGCCTGGACCCATCAGGGGACAAGACACAGAGACATCAGGAGGTGGAGTCAGTTTTCCCGGGAAGGGTGAGCGTGTCGTCAGAGCAGCAAGGAGGAATGATAGAAGCTTGTGTTGTAGACAGAAGGCAAGGAGGTTTTGATGGTGAAACTGGAGAAGAAAAATTACCCAAGAACCAGCTGATAATTGGTCAAGATGAATGGGAGGTACCTGAAGGGGGGCCCCGGCTGTGCCACCATTACTCAGTGTCCAAGCCTTAGCCAAGGAAGGACCACTTATAAATATCTTTGAACACACCTTGTCTTCGTGTTCATGCTTTGCTATTTATAAAATGCCTAGGTATGCATTAACTCCACGACTCCTCAAAATAACCCTGAGATGTGTCATTGAAATCAGTATGTAGATCAAGCAAGATGAAAACACTGAAGCTTACAGTGGCTAACTTGTCCAAAATCACACAGCCAGTGAAAAGGTAGAGGCAGATCTCAAAGTCAGATATTTGAGTTCCAGATCCAGTAATCTGCATTGTCAAGATCCTATAGTACAACCGGGTCCTGGTCCCAGCATGTGCCTGACCATTTGTATGATTCCCCACGTATCATGTGGCTCTTGTGCCTTTGAGGTTGTGCTCCTCTCGTTTCCTTGCATTTCTCCTTGTTCTTTTTTTTTTTTTTTAATTTTTTTTTTCAACGTTTATTTATTTTTGGGACAGAGACAGAGCATGGATGGGGGAGGGGCAGAGAGAGAGGGAGACACAGAATCGGAAACAGCCTCCAGGCTCTTGAGCCATCAGCCCAGAGCCCGACGCGGGGCTCGAACTCACGGACCGCGAGATCGTGACCTGGCTGAAGTCGGACGCTCAACCGACTGCGCCACCCAGGCGCCCCTCTCCTTGTTCTTTAAAGATTTGTACTGTTACGCTTACACCCTCAGACATGCATGAGCATCAAGTAGAGATTAGGGTTTTTACAAATCTGGTTTCGAAGAAATGTTATATTCCAACTTCCTGTACCTGCTTCTATAGAACTGGCATTTTGTAATGCCCGCCTCCCCCCTCCCCTTTTTCCCGGGTCCATAAGAAAAAGCTTTGGAATACTCAGATCCCAGGAGTTGAGCAAGGAGGTACTGATCACGTTCAGTGACAGGAAGTACATCTGCTTAAAAGTCTAATTTCTCTCTCACTTTTGGAAGTCAGGTGAAAAAAAAAGGATTAATTTGACAGATGGCACAGAATAAGAAAAATATTAGAAACAAGAAGAGGCCATTTTTCCTACAGAGGCTCATTTCATTCTATATACCATTTCCCTGGGATATCTGCCAATTGTTAGCAGGAAGAGTGATGTTATCCATTTTTTAAAATTTCACTCTTGAGTATTATGGAGATAAATAGCTAAATGATGGAGAAATAACTTTCTTTCACAGCAGTCGTTTAAGAGAGGTAGAAAGAGCTCAAATGCAGAGACGTTTGATGACATGCGAAAATTCAACCATGCATGAAAAATTCAGTATCTCTGGAGGTACTGTTTGAGCAAGGGCACCCATCAACACTAGCATCGGTACTAGAAAGGAGAGCTAAGTCCATCTATAAAAGTGAGGGGACTGCATGCGAGCCTTGATAGGTTTATTTGCAAGCCCCAGAAACTGGCCAGTTGCAAACTTACAAAGAGAAAAAAAAAAGTCTGTGTTCTGTTTTGCTGCAGGACCAATGCAGGAGACCATCTATGACTTCTGGAGGATGGTGTGGCACGAAAACACCGCAAGCATCATAATGGTGACCAACCTCGTGGAAGTGGGAAGGGTAAGTCGGCCGTCCGCCTCCACGGCCACATGTTCCTTGCTCAGTTGGTAACGTGGAGTAAGGCCAGAATAGGCTTTTGAAGTATTGTGTGTACTTTAGCAAACGTTAACTATGACACCTCCTCCTGTCACTTGCTGCACTTGCTTATAAATTATCAGTAAACATAGACTGAATTGCTTTCATTTGTTGCGATAGCAACAGACAGGCAAGGCACTCAGGATTTAAAAGCAGTTGTTATCTGGCTATATCGAGCACATGAAAACACCTCTAAGCGCGAGAACACTTGTTGCTGGGTGTCAAAACACAATGGGTGCTGCATTAGACGCGACTGCATTCCCTATCTCCAGAACGTTGACTCTGAAAACAGAGTAAGCCACTGGATGCAGTCCTGAGCTTGGCATTCCAGCATCTCCTCCTGCTTAGATTTTACTTTCCTGCCTCTCTGTTTCTGAACCTGTCAAATAGAGATCGTCATCTTCCCCCTGAAGTCTTGTATGACTTTATCTGTAGGAACTGGTCACGAGAGCTGTTTTTATCAAAGCGGGAAATACTTAAGCAGTTATAACCTAGGTAGTGGTACGCTATAGGATTATTTCCAAAGTGAAATTTATAAAGGAGAAATACACAGGGTGCAATTGCTTTGTTTTATAAGAGGGTCAATTCCATGGCTCTGCTCAACTCAAGAATCCGTTAGTTCTTTTTTTTTTTTTAAGTAAAAGTTTATAATTTATTATGTACTTTGATTTGCATGTGTCATCTCATTAATTGTCACTTTAACCTTATGAAGTAAGTTGGTATGACTTCCTAGTTTTTTTTTAATTTATTTATTTAAATTCAAGTTAGTTAACATACAGTATAGTATTGGTTTCAGTAGAACCCAGTGATGTGTCACTTACATGTAACACCCAGAGCTCATCCCAAGTGTTCTCCTTAATGCCCATCACCCATTTAGCCCATCCCCCCCACCTCCCCTCCAGCAACCCTCAGTTTGTTCTCTATACTCAAGAGTGTCTTATGGTTTGCCACCCTGTTTTTATCTTAGTTTTCCTTCCCTTCCCCTATGTTCATCTGTTGTGTTTCTCAAATTCCACATAAGTGAAATCATATTATATTTGTCTTCCTCTGACTTATTTCGCTTAGCATAATACACTCTAGTTCCATCCACATTGTTGCAAATGGCAAGGTTTCATTCCTTTTGATCCCTGAGTAGTATTCCATTGTATATATAAACCACATCTTCTTTATCCATTCATCAGTGGATGGACATTTAGGCTCTCTCCATAACTTGGCTGTTGTTGCTAGTGCTGCTATAAACATTGTGGTGCATGTGCCCCTTCAATTTATTTTGAGAGAGGGGGTGGGGAGGGGCAGAAAGAGAGGGAGAGAGAGAATCCCAAGCAGGTTCCACACTACCAGCACAGAGCCTGACACAGGGCTCGATCCCATGACCCTGGAATCACAACCCAAGGTGAAAGAGACAGATGCTTAATCCACTCAGCCAACCCATTACTTCATAGAAAAGGTTGACATTGTGAGATTGACCCTCAGCAGCAAAGGTAGCCTGGAGATTAGCCTAGAAGTGAAATACTGGGGCAGAAACCATAAAGGGGTTGTTGCTTAAGATTCTTGGTCAGCCTTAAAAAAGAAGGAAACCCTGCCATTTACAACATGGATGAACCTGGAGAACATCATATAAGCCAGTCACAGAATACATGATTCTACTTCTATGAATTATCCAAAATAGTCAAATTCATATAAGCAGAGAAATGCCATAGTGGTTGCCAAGGGCTGGGAAGAGGGAGAAATGGGGAGTTGATGTTCAATGGGTACAAAGTTTTGGTTACGCTAGATAAATAAGTTCTGGAGGTCTGCTATGCAAAATAGTGCTTATACAGTTAACAATACAGTTTTGTGCACTTAATTTGTTCAGATGGTAGATCTTACATTAAGTGTTCTTACTACAAAAACAAAGAAGAAGGGACACAGGAAACTTGGAGAGGCATTGGATATGTCTTATCTTGGAAATAGTGATGATACCACGTGTATGCATATGTTGAAACTCATCAAGTTGTGCACATAAACATTGTATATTGGGGGCACGTGGGTGGCTCAGTAGGTTGACCATTCCACTCTTGATTTCAAATGAGGTCATGATCCCTGGGTTGTGGGATCAAGCCTCGTGTCATCAGGCTCCACACTCAGTGTCATCAGGCTCCACACTGCGTGAGATTCTCTCTTTCTCTCTCTCTCTCTTCCCTGCTCATACTTTTTTTCAAAAAAATAAATACTTTTTAAAAAATAAAAATAATTATTTTTTAATGTTTTTATTTATTTCTGAGAGAGAGAGAGAGCGCGCGAGTGGGAGAGGGGCAGAGAGAGACACAGAATCCGAAGCAGGCTCCAGGCTCTGAGCTGTCAGCACAGAGCCTGACGCAGGGCTCGAACTCATGAGCTGTGAGATCATGACCTGAGCTGAAGTCGGAGGCTCAACCAACCGCACCACCCAGGTGCCCAAAAATAAAAATAATTTTTAAAAAATAAACATTGTATATTGTAATCATGTATCAGTTATACTTCAGTAAAGCTGTTTCCAAAAAAAAAAAAAAAAAAGGATTTTCAGAAGTATCAGGAGGTGCAAATCAAGAAGAGAGACATTCAGAAGTGGGAGGTACTTTCAATTTTAGCAAAAATAGCAAACTAAATAACCTGAAAACCCTCCTCCTACAAACATCTAGAAATTCTAGATAAAATATAAATATATATTTAATAACTTTGTATATTATATGTAAATCATATGTAAATATGTATGTTAAAAATATTTGGCTTAGCTTTCGAGAAAGGAAACTACTAGAAACCAGAAGAGTGAGAGCTAGAGGCCAGACAGAGAGCGGACACTGCCACTGTTCTTTGGAGGCTGGGCAGGTGGGGTGCGTCAGTCTTGGAGGGAGGGTGGGGGACCTCAGACTTCATGATTTCGGATCTTGGGTTTTACACCCACCCAAAAACAGGAGATAACATGTTAGGCCTGTGCAATACGAGGAATTTGAACTCGAGATTGCCACCTGACACCTAAGCTTACAAAAGGTAGGCACTCAGAGAAGGGACAGTGGAGGGGGACGCAGAGGGAGGTGGAAGAGGGAAGCCAGCTGGGCACCGGAACAGGGAAGTGAGAAAGAGACAAATCAGTCTTCACTGAGGATCTAGAGGAGAAAGCATTTCCCCCAACTCATGGGTCAAAGCAAAATGCCCTGATATGAATCAGAACTTACTGAGAACTGTGAATCATAGTGTCATAGAGTAAACTTGTAGGATGCAGATAAAATGGTACCTAAAAGGGTGTATATGTTTTTAAGTGTCATTAGAAAAGAAGAAAGACCAAGCATCTAAATCAAAAAGATATGTGTTGGGGCGCCTGGGTGGCTCATTCGGTTAAGCATCCAACTTTGGCCCACAATCTCATGGTTCATGAGTTCGAGCCCTGCGTCAGGCTCTGTGCTGATGGCTTGGAGCCTGGAGCCTGCTTTGGATTCTGTGTCTCCTTCTCTCTCTGCCCCTTCCCCGCTCACGCTTTGTCTCACTCTGTTTCTCAAAAATAAATATAAATGTACAAAAAAAATTAATAAAAATATGTGAAGAACAGAATACAACTAAAGAAAAAAGGAAATAATAGAACAGAAAATTATTAAATTAAAAGCAAAGAAACAATCATGAAAATCAACAGAATCAAAAGGGTTTTGTGAAAAGATTCACAAAATAGACAAACATCTGGCAATCTGAAGTACAAGAAAAAAAGCCAAGAACTCTCAATATTTGAAATAGGAAAAAGATTCTTTTATCATAATAGATAATATGAATAGCTAACAAACTTGAAAAATTAGAGAAGTTGGGTAATTTTCTTAACAAGTATGATTTTCCAAAACTGATTCAAAATGGGACAAAAATTACGGGGCACCTGGGTGGCTCAGTCAGTTAAGCGTCCAACTTCGGCTCAGGTCATCATCTCATGGCTTGTGAGTTCAAGCCCTGTGTCGGGCTCCAAGGTAACAGCTCCAAGCCTGGAGCCTGTTTACAATTCTGTGTCT